GTGAAGAAGTTGATGAGCACAGGGGACTGGGAGACAAGACTGCTTTGTCTGACGGTCTGTCAGATAGCCCCATTATCTTCACTACCACCTCACCCCTCCCTCATCCTGCACTCTGCAAGAGGTTAGATTACTGTTTTTTGCTCGTTAATACAACTCAAAGTAAATGCATTTTAAAACATTTCAGTCTGAGAATGGGGGAGTGAAAAAAAAAAAGACAACAAAACAACTGCAAAGAGGAAGAACAGCAGCAAAAAGAAATCCATTTGAGTGCCAAGGAGTTGTTCACATCATCTTTTATTGCCTTTATGAAAACTGGGAGATAACAGAAGTGTAAAAGCAGTAAGGCTATTTGAGAACTGAGTCTCATGCTTCCAGTAGAAATGATGGTTATTTCACTCTGATCTGAGGGTGACAGTGGGGGTCATTCTTGAAGCTACCTGTTTTATCTCAGTGCTATAATAAAAAGATCCTTTCTGGAAGAAAGAGACATGATTTCATTAACTGTAAATTTTGTTCATCCCGACATCCTCTGGACACCTATCACAAGTCAAAGCTCGTGATTCTAGTTACCCCTGCAGAACAGGTAGAAGCATTACTAGAGCTGTCACAAAGTGTTTGTAGCTTTGTTTCTGTGACAGTTTTTTTGTGGTTTAACCTGGCAGGCAGCTAACCACCACACAGCTGTTCGCTCACTCTTCCTGCCCCCAGTAGGATGGGGGAGAGAATTGAGGGGGTGTAGAGTAAAATTTGTGGAGTGAGATAAAGACCATTTAGATAGTACAGAAAAGGAAGGGAGAAATAATAATGATAAAAGAATATACAAAGCCAGTGATGTACAGTGCGATTGCTCACCATTCACCAACTGATGCTCAGCCAGTTCCCAAGCAGCAGCCCCCAGCCAGCTTTCCCCCTAGTATATATAGTGAGTGTGATGTTGTATGGTGTGGAACGTCCCCTTGGCCAGCTGGGGTCAGCTGTCCTGGCTGTGCCCCCTCCCAGCTTCCTGTGCACCCCCCAGCCTCCTTGCTGGCAGAGCAGTATGAGAAGCTGAAAAGTCCTTGACCTTGTGTAAACCCTGCTTAGCAACAACTAAAACATCAGTGTGTTATCAACATTGTTCTCATCCTAAATCCAAACCACAGCACTGTACCAGCTATCAGGAAGAAAATTACCTCTATTCCAGCTGAAACCAGGACACACTTAAAGACATGGTATGATGCCATTTTCCTTTCTTCCAGTGTTTCTGGCCCATCTATTGCACCAATGCTGGTGCTCCTTTGGTACCTTGGTGAGCTGATTTGGCTCATTAAACCAGCAGATTATTCTATTTTTCTGTATTCTGATTGTTTTGTTTTGCTGGAATTGCTTTTCTTCACTCTAATGAGCTGCATTGGCTCATTGCAAGCTCAGATAAGTGCTAGAGCTGACTCAAGGGAAGAATTGAGGAGAGAGTAAACAGGACCACCGTCTTGAGCAGCAATGATCTATTAGATTGGCTTAGTTGCACATGAAAGTTTCTACTCCTGTGTTTATCTCCATGATTGTGTCAATTAGGGAATTTGCAGAGTGGGAAAGGAGGTAGTAAGATAATTGTTGAGGGGTGAATTCCTAGCACTTTCAGTACCATCTTTGGTGAATGGAGGCTATAGGGATGATAATAGTGAAGCAATGATGTAGTCTCTATCTGATATAATTAAAAGAAAAAGCAAAACTTCAACCGTGTTAAATGTGCAACTGTTCATGATTCCATTTTCTTTGTTCACTATGTGACCATTACTTTGCAATTAGTCATGGAAATTTTATTGTGGATAAACTGTTTTTTAATCATGTTTCTCACTGTATCGCTAATTTCCAAGACGTATTTTTTTCAGCTTCTCTGTGCATGAGAGGTATGATACTCAAGATAGGAAACGGAGACATACAGAAGGAGAAACAAGGGTACTCTGATTCTCTTGCTCAGTGCTTAGATATGTAGGACCTGATGTTTTAGAGAACTTAAAAAGGACTTAAGTTCATATTTTATACCTTCATTGTAAGTTCGTACTCAAATCTGAATGTGAGGTCTCTAATAAATGAGGGAAACATATGATACCTATTTAGTTTAAGTGATTTGCCTTACATCAGATTGAAGCCCTTCTGATGGATGAGTAGAATACAGTTTCCCAGGGCAGCCTTCTGTTACAAGCTGTAAGACCATCCTCTCCCTTCCTGCAGTCCATGGGTCTTTCACAGCATACACTTCAACTTCTGAAAAACTATGTAGGATCCTGTAGACCAGCAAATGTTAAATGAGCTGTAGTCAACCCCCTCTGGAGAAAATCAGTCATGAGCTGAACCTCCCATGGTACAGCTCCGGATGGACCTCTAGGGTTTTCTAAATGTATCTCAAAACACAGGTGTTATATGACTTATTACCAGATAGAATTTGTAATTTTAATAGAAGACATGTCTGTATGAATGTCATAAATATGTAGAAATAACGATCACCAAAATAAGATGTCCATACAAGGTTAGACCAGGAGTGCATGTCTCCTATGTTCTGATCTCTGACAGCGGCTAGTATAACGGGATCTTCTCCCGTTTTCACTGACACTACTACTGTAGGTAGGTTTTACAGGACAGAAGCTTTCTTACCTAGGAGGGTGTCTGAATGTAGAGGTAGACAGAGCTACTTTTCAAATGTTAGTATCTTTGTTGATTCCTAACCTTCTTCAGAGGTAAAACATACTTCTCTCTCCTACCAAATTTCTTGTGTGGACAGGCACTGCGCTACCACCTGCTAAAAGAGGCTAGTGTCACAGCCAGACCCTGTACATCCATGTACTTGGAACTGCTTCTTGCTTGCTATTTCCACCACTGTTGTCTCTGGACACGGAACACCAAGAGGCCTTTTCTACACATTTATGCCATCTTTCACAACTTTACAGATGCAACTACTGCTTCCATTCTGTGATGTGGCTCTAAGTGATCTTGATACAAGGGAATTCTACACAGATGCAAAGGACTGAATAGCTCGGCACCAATCATCTGCCATTCAGCTTTGTCCTGGTATAGGAGGAGACGTTGAGGAGTGGGAGGGAGAAGGCACGAATCCTAGAGGACTGTGTTTTGTTTCCCTTTTTTTCTTGACAGCTGGGCTTCCTCATCTTTCAAGCCTAGAAGGCAGCTGCTCTCCCTTCTCCACTTCGCAGGTGAATGCTTCCCTATTTGCTGCCAGACATGGTGGTCTTGTCTATGGGCACAGAGTTGCTTGAGTTGGTATGACTTTGGTGCTCAGCTATCTGACCATTGCCAGTTTAGGAAGTTGAACTTGTTCATCTGGGAAACTAGCCTATCTAAGAAGAAAATTCCTTTTTCTTCTGATTCTGGAAACTGAAGCAGTCCACCCAGGGATGGGAATCCTGTGTTGGGGAGTGAGACCATGGTCGTTCTGAGATCATTGTGCCGGTCTGAACCATCACTGTAAAATCTGACATTGCAGTGGGCTGATAGCTTAGGGTTTGAAACTGGGAGCTTAGGCTTTTCTCCTGCTGTGTGTTCCCTGCTTCTACCCTAGATCTACAGATTTGTGCAGCTACAGGGTGAGTTGGTTATTGAGCTGTTTTGGGAAGTGAGAGGAAGCAGGAACTGATCAATGGAAAATGGAGCTGCATGATGACTAGATCTGCATCAGGGAAGAGGAGAATAATATGAATAATGCTTTCCACAGCAGCCTGGAGATGCATCAGATTAAGCACAACATGAGACAGCACCTTATGCCTCATTACTCATCCTTGCCCAGCCATTGTGATGCTGAAAAGTGCTTTTCTGCCTCATCTGTTGCACCTGTGAATACGTAGCGTACTTCCTTTTGAATTCTCTTTCTTTACATGGCCTTTCTAGTTCATAGTGTCTTCATCTTCTGTTAGCCTGCATTGTACAGCTTGAGGAGCATTGGTGCTACCCCAGTTGGCTTCTTAGAGTTTTCAGTTCCCTCTCTCTCCCTTAGCCATTCATCTGAAGCTGTACCCTTCTCCATTGTAAGGGCTTTTTTTTTTTTCCCCCTTTCTTCCTGTCCTTTGAGGGAGAAAGATGGGAGTCTTGTCTTCTGGAACTGTTTCTTGGAGCAAGCGGATCATTGCACAGATAGCTGCTAAGCTGCATTTTCTGGAGGAGAGTTGGGGTAAAACTCCAAACAGCTCAGGAAAGGCCCTGCTTTTGGCAGAGTTCTTCAAAAGCCTGTGGGAGAACTTCCAATGTAACACGTTTTCACCAAAGTTGAAGGCAGAGGGCTGGCTGGCTGGGAATAGGCTCTCCGAGAACTGGAGTGCTGGGAGGAGGTGCAGAAGCAACTATGTTCACCCTGGCTTCCCAGGGGATGGTAACTTCTTCAAAATGTCTGCTTTCTAGGGGGCTGTGTCTGTTAGCACAGGCCTGGAACATAGACTCATATGTGCGTCTGGATGTTTGTGCAGAAGTATCTCTGCACAGTGTTCCCCACTGTGGTTTCCCCACAGCTTCTGGTTCCAAGAACATACTACAGAGGAACTGGTGCCTTCCCAGTCCTGGAGGAGCTTCCAGGCTGGGGCCTGTATTGCCGTGTAAATGCACCCTGCTGAAGTGCGTATCACTGGCTGGGAACTGCTGTGATGGACTGGCTTCTCTGTAGTGCAGTAAGATTTACAACACACCCATGCTAAGTGTTTACTTAATGTGAGGCTGCAGAAGAGGAAAAGAGCATGCAGATGTATTCGTTGACAAACGCAGGGTCTGAAGAAATGTGGAAAGCTAAGACTGCTTTTGCTGTAAAGAATGTGCTGTGTTTCAGCTACAATTGAGATTGGTGAATACAAAATTGTTACACATACACCACAGTTATTTGTTTGGAATTGAAGTGTATTCTGCTGGTTTTAACATTAGATATTTTTAAGTTAGGACTTCAGATCAATTTTTAGGAATCACTGACTTTTTCAGTCTGAGATCGTGTTAGAATAATGCATTTGTTTTGGATTTTACAGATTGCCTTCATGACCTTGACTCTGTTTCCTATCCGACTCTTTTTTGCTGCTTTTATGATGTTGCTGGCCTGGCCTTTTGCATTCATTGCTTCAATGGGATCTGATGAGCAAGAGCTTGAAAAGCCCCTCTCCTGGTGGCGAAAGTGAGTCACTGATGTGGTGAAATAATGAAAGAATCATTATTTAGTTTAGCAGTTTGAAATAAGAAGATTGGAAATACCTGATATCTGTCCCACAGACCTGCTTTTCTTGCCAAAAGAAAAATATAAAAATTATCATTTAAACACATTCCTGAAATCGGACACTAAAAATACCTCAACTTTTTGATGTCGCGGGTGACCCAAGAATTACAGGGTGAAAAAATGATCATGTCTGGCCTCTTATCTTTATTGAGGATGTAGTGTGATGCTTCATTGTGACATCCTTCAATTTCAATTGTTCTCGTAATGCCAACTTCTTGTTATGAAGATTGACACTACGGAATGTGCCCAGATTTCGTATTTGAAATTGTTGTTTTAAACTGCTTCACCCCATTGTTTGCTACCCTGTGATGAATTGACAAAAATTCTGTTGATTCTCTGAGGGTTTGCCCCATGCTTTGGCGCTTATTAGGAAGTCTGTGCTTGCTTTGATATTGGAATGCTAGTTAAGGTAGAATGTAAGATAGTGTTCACCCATCCATGAAAACTGCTGAAGGAGAAGTGTATTGCCTCTTCTGTAGAGAACTCTAAAATTTGCTGGCACTAGCATGAGGGAAGCTGGTTGTATTTTGTATCACAAGAGGGAAGGAGGTTGAGAACCAGAGGCATGTCACTTTACATTTCATTTGGAATGATATCAGTATAATGACTAAAGGAATAATGGACTGCCTTCAATCTTGCATACAGTTATTTTGAAGCTTTTTAGATTGTCCCTTCCCCATTTCATCCAGTTTTCAGTGTCACCCTGCTCTCAGGCATCCAGTCCCTGTGAGTATAACAATTTGTGGTAATTGGTTTTTGCACTCCGTTGGTTCAAAGTAAATGTTTTTCTTTTCACGACTGTCCGTTCAAAAAACATGCAAACACCTCCTCCCCCCCGCCCCCCCCCAAAAAAAAACCTTTAGGAAGAGATAGGGAAAAGGGAAGAAAATAAAGTATTTCCAGAGCTCCCAGATGTGTTCTGTAGGCATCCCTGTGTTTGAGAATCTCTGCCTTACACTTCTCCACTGTTTTGTTTGGGTAAACTCGAACCCAAGAATCAGGATTGTTACATTCTAGCAATGTGCTAATAGCATTTTTCAGGACTCAGTTTATTAGAGCTTTTTTGGTGTTACTAGAAAGCTTTATTAGGCATTGTATAGAAGAAACTCAACAGTCATAGTCTGAATCAAAATTAATTTAGTGATAAAATAAATGCCAATCTTATTGTTATTAAAAAGCATTAATATTCAGGCATGAAATGAAATTGAATGGCATCTTACCTTGAAAGTGGTCTTAAATCTGCTGAGAAAGACACAACAAGAGGTCTATGCAGTGTTCCTGCTCTGCTTAAGCAGCATATCCTATCTGTACTTTTGTCATGCTAACAAAGATTTTTATGTAATGTTGTTCTTTTCATTATTTTAATGTATTCCTGTGGCAGCATAACTGTTTTGTCAACTCTTTACAGGATAGTGGATATTTTGCTGAAAGCAATCATGAGAATGATGTGGCTTGCTGGTGGATTCCACTGGATAAATGTAAAAGGCAGACGCGCGTTGCCAGCGGAAGCAGCTATATTAACTGTTGCTCCCCATTCTTCCTACTTTGATGCCATTCCAGTAACTATGACGTTCGCCTCCATTGTGATGAAAGCAGAAAGCAAAGATATTCCTGTTTGGGGAAGTAAGTTGGTAAATACTTCATTTTTCAAGAACAATTAAAAATTATTACTTGGGAATTTCACTGTCTGTATATGAGAAGGCCTGAAACGCAAAAAAAAATTTTGCTATAATATATGGTGAGTTGTTTTTTTTTTTTTTACTGGTATACTTTGAATGTCAATAGAAAAAAGCTGAGTGGGATTTCCCGTTCTCCAAAGTGGAATCATTGTACAGAGTCAAAACAACGCTATAGAACTCATGGTTAAATTTGCAGTGAAATTGCAACTTTTTAAGACCTGACAAATAGAAAATCAGGTTAAGATGTGGCTAGAGAAACAAGGGTGAAGCTATAGAGAAGGTCCACCAAAACTTCTTTCTTGGTGCAAGTTGGGGTGCTGTCCCAGAAATGCATTTTAGGAATGTTGTCTGCTCTGAATGGTATCCTGCATTGAGGGAGTGCTGCTAATCCTTCATGCATCAATAAGTTTGTTTCAGGCGGAGTGTGAGAGATGAGCAAGCTCAGATTGTTGTGCACTCAGATTTAGTCATAAGAAATGCAGATGCCCAAGTCAGTAGTGTTTGAATACTATCTTTGGAATTACCAATGTAGATTCTCACAAAAGGCTTGAGATAGACCTGTGATTTTTTTTTGGTGCAGTTGTGCCAAAAAAATGGGTAAGCTTTTAGGTTTGTAGACTTCTAACCAAAGTCTGTGTAGAAGCATTTTGGAGAAACCCAAATTCTTGTGTCTAGGGACCAGCCAAGTTCAAAGAACCTTCCTGTGACTTGTTGTGTCAATTTTAAGGGTAGTATAAAAACAACAAAAGATTTTACTTTGGCCTTGGGTAGGGACTCTTTAAATTAAAAGTCTAAACAAAAGCTTTGAGTTCCTTCACAACTAAGTGGAATCAGGCTGTTGGTATCGACATCCTATTAAAATTTCATTAGGCGATGTGGTTTTAAGGATGTCTTCAAAATGAGAAGCTGAGACATGACCACAAATGGTGAGTGGTTACATCTGGAAGCTACTAATCTCTTAGTATAAAGGTCTCTCTGTATTGGGTAAAGTTCATGCCAGAACTGTAGCTGTATCTCGATTTCATTGAATATCTGACTACTAGAGTTTAGTAAAAGTTGGTGACAGTGAAATATACATGTAAAAATGAATAGATGCTCTGAACAAAAAGGGTGTAGGCATGAGTTTTTAAAATCAAATGTATACAAGCAAGCATAATGTGAAAACAAAAATAAATTTAACTTCCTTCTCCAATACTGAAAGAAGATATTGTTGTGAGATGTTTTGTTGACACTCCTGTACAGTGTGAGTGTATCCAGGCCAGCTTAGGCTTTAGCAGCAGCCCAGCCATAGAAGCAGGGACAGACTGATCTTTCTCAGCTGGCTCAATTGACTGTTCAATAATTGCTAGCTCAGCAAAATAAAGTAGTCTATGTGGAGCTCTCTTTTACTTGCAGCTGGACTGTTTGGAGGACCCAAACTAGATGAGGTAACTGCAGGCTATGTTGTGTTACTGAAGGGTGATGAAATGCTGTAATAGCTGCTTAACTATCCCATGTAATAGATTCAGTGGGGAGTAGTGGGAAAGCCTGAGGAGAATCTGTAGGGATATGGAGGTTGTAGTTACACTGAACATAGCACAAATAATACATATTGAGTAGTTAAAACTATTTCCTGTATACCTAATTTAATTTTAAGGTAACTATTAAAGGATTCAATTGAAAGTCTAGACTTACTGCAATAAATTTTAAAAATTACTCACTTGATTTTGTTCATGTGTGAGCAAAACCAGTTACAGAAAAACAGAAAACACAGAAAACTACATATAGTGATTTTTTTGAGTATTACTGGACTGTACAGTGTAGTCAAGTAATGAGTATTTTGTCCTGTATAGCTGCATTCACTTTGTCATGCAGCCACAAAAATTATGTAGTCCCTTATGAAGTGTTCAGAAAAATGCCATGGAAATGAAGCATGGCAGAGATCGTAACTGGGATTCAGAGTCGAAATTTTTTTTTTTAGAGGAGTACTTTTATATTAGCAATATTAATTAAAACATTTTGTGCTATTAAAGTAAACGGATCTTAACAGAGAGGTAAGTAATCACTGTGATGATTAGTTTGCCTTAAAATTTAGTGAAAACTTTTTCCAGTGGAGTGAAGTTGTGATTTTTTTTTTTCTTTTACCGCTTGAAAGAGGTTTTCTGTGAAGCAGATGGTACTGACTGTCCTCTCCTCCTTTGATCTGGTATTTTAATTCCAACGTTATTTACACTTCTCTATGTACACACACAAAAATGTATTTCATGTTATAGGACCACTGGTATTCCTCTTATGCTATCTGTGAAAAGGTGGTAATGTTTTTCTTGGGTTGTGTGGTGAATTGTCAACACTCTAGACATTCATCTAGAATTTATCCCAGCGAGGTCAGAGTTGTTTTTTATGTCCTTCAGTTTTGTAAATCTTGCAAACTTACGCCATCTCCAGTGAAGTTTTGGAGCCAGCCATTGATAATCCTAACTTTGCTATTTCTTAACTGAGTCTTGTTAATAGTCATTCAGAATCTTCTGGGAAGTTTTAAATAAAGTACATTCATTTAACTCTGTGAGCAGACTTCAGCATGTAAAAAATGAAGCAGTAGAGGAAATTTGAAGATAATTTCGAAGGATGAGGGCTTTGAGTGAAGAGTAGAACTTAATCCAGAATATCCAAATATCATATAAATCAGTTGGCTTTCTGATGTAATGACATTGTTTATCAGGACATTGTACATTGTTTACCAGAGGGATCAGGTGCTTTAGCAGGCACAAAAAGATCTGATTGCTAACTGGCTACTGAGATTGGTTCTGAAGGTGTTTTTAATAGGTTTCTGAAGCAGCTGCCTGTATTATTGTACCCTTAGTTTGCCAGTCATGGAATATAAAGCGTTTGATCCACTTTTAAGTCCAGGTGATTAAAAGCCTGTTGTTTTTGGGATTGGAAATATTCCACGAGTGTGTTAGTATGAGTGTTTTATTGCTTTCTAACTTGAAGGCAGCTCTCCTGGACCACGAAGTCCAATTTCAGAAGCAGACTTAAGTCTTGTGACTCCTTCAGACAACTTCCTTCTTTTGAGGAAAACAAGAAAAAACAAATTAAAAAATGCTCTTTTGCATTGACAAAAGAGCTATGACCTCTTCAGTTAGTGGTCAGTAGTGAAGAAGATTATCCACTGAGCACACACGCTCGGTTAACGAACTCTGTAGAGGAACTGCTTGTCCAAATATAAATGAGTTATGAACGATCATTAAAAAAAAAAAAAATCGTTTGGTAAGAAAAGAATGCCAGAACAGATGGAGCACATCACCGCCATGCTGAAGAAGGACATGTATTTCTGTGTAATGGCTTTCCAGACTTTTGGTAGGTTGGAGATGTGAAGTTTGCTGGCCCACTTTAGTGTAATGTGTGCAGCCCAGTGAAGATGATGTCTATGGATCTGTTGCACCTTAAGTTGTCTGAAGTAGTTAGATCATTCATCAGCACAGGTCCTTAAACTTTCTTGTTTTCTCTACTGGACCCCAGTTCAAGTCAGGACAAGCTCTTTGCTTAAATTCTGGGTAGTCACACTTCACTGCCTTATTTTTTTCTGGTAAAGCAAGTTATTATATAAAAGTATATATATTATAGAAGTTATTTTTTCATTGCTGAAGTGGTCAGTGCTACTACAGAAATAGTTCAATAAGAAGGAAAAGGGATTTGTCAGTAAATGTGATTTGGTGGGGATTTTGCTGGACAACTTTTGTGATTCAAACATCTGTGGTCTGAACTTTCAAAACCTAAATTTAAGGTGATAACTAATTTAAATTTTAAGCAACTTCTTAACATCTGTAACCTCACCCTCTGAAAAAGAGAGGAAGTTGGTACCTGTGAGATGAATGGGGGAATATCTTAGCTTAAGTTTATGAAGGGGAAGGAGGTCATTTGTACTTGGCAGAATACAGAAGAGCTAAAGAAGGGAGAAGCACACTGCGCTGTGTGTGAAGCCATCAATTCTATTGTGGGCGTGTTTTTCCACATCTAGTAAACTTAAGATTTTTTTGTTGTTGTTGTTCAAGCTCATCTTTTGAAAGGGCTTTACAGGCCTTTCTTGAGCATCATAACTAAAAGACAAGAAATAAGTAATTAAGTGGGAAATATGCTGTGGTAGCTGGGTATGTCTTCATCTCAGAACTTAAAAGATGCCAGTTTACTTACTCATCAGCTCTGTTATGCAACCTTCAGTCCTCCACCCCAATTGCTTTCTGCCCCATACCTTCCAAATAACACAAGGAAGAGAACCGTGGTAGACCCGTAGTTCTTCAGTGAGGATCTCACATTTAAATACTTCTGAGATTCATTAAAACAGTCCTTAAACCCCTTATAGAAAAACCTGCTTGTAAGGTGAAGGTGTCACAGATTTCTTCTCTTATATGCTGTAAATCAGCAGCTTAAACGCTGTTAAGGTCACCAGCTTGAATGCCACCATCCTATGCTATGTTGGCATTGTAGCCTGCCTTAAGTATACAAATGAGCTCCCCAGTCCTGGGGAGCATCTTGAAGTTATTGCCAAGCTTCTCTGTTTCATCCTCTCCTTTAAAAACTTCCATTTCAAAATTCAGTGTTTCCTTCAGGCTGTGGGCACCCAAATGGTCCCGCGGTATTTGTCCTCACAGGACCTTTCTTGGAGAGATGTAAAATAGTTTCACTGTCACCTATGTATTATAGGTATGCCTTTATTGTTTGGGTTGGAATCCTGGACTCATCTGATTACTGTTTTTTTTTTTTACCATGAATTCAGTAACAGTTACTTCTCATTTAAACCACTGCTGGAATACCTAAACCACCATCACATTTTTTAAGCCATCCTAGTTAATATCATTAATGGAAGTTACAAACTACAGTATATAGGAAACCTTCAAACCAACACAACTGCTGCTGTAAAATACTTTTTAGACTGGCAGCAGCAAACTAAAACATACAGCCAAGCCT